CCCCACCCCCTCAATACCCAGCAGAAACTATTTTCCCCTTATCTCTAATTTTGTTGAAGAGAGAGTATATGCAATAATAGGAAGGAATAACGGTTTTTGCTAGTTGAGATAAGGATAGCTATACAGGGAATTGACTCACATTAATTTCCTGTGCATGTGCATTACCTTCTAGGTTAATTGTTTTTGATCTAACCTTTTCTCTAGTTCCTGGTCCCCTTCTCCTATTGGCCTCAGTTGCTTTTAAGATATCTGCTTTAGTTTCTCTGCGTTGAGGACAACAAATGCTAGCTAATGTTTTGGGTGTCTTACCTATCCTCACACCTCCTTGTGTGCTCTCGCTTTTGGATGTGCTCAAAGTCCAATCCCCTTGTTGTGTTTGCCCTTGATCTAATGTCTGTATATGAGGGAGAACATATGATTTTTGGTCTTTTGGGCCAGGCTAACCTCACTCAGAATGATGTTCTCCAATTCCATCCGTTTACCAGTGAATGATAACATTTTGTTCTTCTTCATGGCTGCATACAATTTCAATGTGTATAGATACCACATTTTCTTGATCCATTTGTCAGTTGTGGAGCATCTTGGCTGTTTCCATAACTTGGCTATTGTGAATAGTGCTGCAATAAACATAGGTGTGCAGGTGCCTCTGGAGTAACCTGTGTCACAGTCTTTTGGGTATATCCCCAAGAGTGGTATTGCTGGATCAAATGGTAGATCAATGTTTAGCTTTTTAAGTAGCTTCCAAATTTTTTTCCAGAGTGGTTGTACTAGTTTACATTCCCACCAACAGTGTAAGAGGGTTCCTTTTTCCCCACATCTTCGCCAACACCTGTTGGTGGTGGTGTTGCTAATGATGGCTATTCTAACAGAGGTGAGGTGGAATTTTAGTGTGGTTTTAATTTGCATTTCCTTTATTGCTAGAGATGGTGAGCATTTTTTCATGTGTTTTTTGGCCATTTGAATTTCTTCTTTTGAGAAAGTTCTGTTTAGTTCACTTGCCCATTTCTTTATTGACTCATTAGTTTTGGGAGAATTTAGTTTTTTAAGTTCCCTATATATTCTAGTTATCAGTCCTTTGTCTGATGTGTAGCTGGCAAATATTTTCTCCCACTCTGTGGGTGTTCTCTTCAGTTTAGAGACCATTTCTTTTTAGTTTTATGAGGTCCCATTTATCTATGCTATCTCTTAGTTGCTGTGCTGCTGGGGTTTCATTGAGAAAGTTCTTACCTATACCTACTAATTCCAGAGTATTTCCTACTCTTTCCTGTATCACTTTTAGAGTTTGGGGTCTGATATTAAGATCCTTGACCCATTTTGAGTTAATATTGGTATAGGGTGATATGCATGGATCTAGTTTCAGTTTTTGCAGACTGCTAACCAGTTTTCCCAGCAGTTTTTGTTGAAGATGCTGCTTTTTCTCCATCGTATATTTTTAGCACTTTTGTCAAAGACAAGTTAGATAGAGTTGTGTGGCTTCATATCTGGGTCCTCTATTCTGTTCCACTGGTCTTCATGTCTGTTTTTGTGCCAGTACCATGCTGTTTTTATTGTTATTGCTTTGTAATATAGTTTGAAGTCAGGTTGCCTCCAGCATTGTTCTTTTCACTGAGTATTGCCTTGGCTACTCGTGGCCTCTTGTGTTTCCATATAAATTTCACTGTAGATTTTTCAGTGTCTTTAACGAATGTCATTGGAATTTTGATGGGAATTGCATTAAACATGTAGATTACTTTTGGGAGTATCGACATTTTTACTATGTTGATTCTACCAATCCATGAGCATGGGAGATCTCTCCACTTTCTATAGTCTTCCTCAATCTCTTTCTTCAGAAGTTTATAGTTTTCCTTGTAGAGGTCATTCACATCTTTTGTTAGGTTTACATCTAGGTATTTCATTTTTTTTTGAGGCTATTGTAAATGGAATTGTTTTCATATATTCTTTTCAGTTTGTTCATTATTAGTGTATAGAAATGCTAATGATTTTTCTATGTTGATTTTATATCCTGCTACCTTGCTGTTGCTATTGATGATGTCTAGAAGCTTCTGAGTTGAGATTTTTTTGGGTCTTTAAGGTATAGGATCATGTCATCTGCAAATGGGGATATTTTGACAGTTTCTTTACCTATTTGTATTCCTTTTATTCCTTCTTCTTGCCTAATTGCTCTGGCTAGGAATTCCAGTACTATGCTGAATAGGAGTGAAGATAGTGGGCATCCTTGTCTAGTTCCTGATTTTAGAGGGAATGGTTTCAGTTTTTCTCCATTAAGTATAATGCTGGCTGTTGTTTGTCATATATAGCTTTTATAATGTTGAAGTACTTTCCTTCTATTCCTAGTTTTCTTAGAGCTTTTATCATGAAATGGTGTTGGATCTTATCAAAGGCTTTTTCTTCATCTATTGAGATGATCAAGTGGTTTTTGTCTTTGCTTCTGTTAATGTGGTTTATTATGTTTATTGATTTTCATATGTTGAACCACCTCTGCATTCCTGGGATGAAGCCTACTTGGTTGTGGTGAATAATCTTTTTGATGTGTTGTTGAATTCAGTTTGCCATTATTTTGTTGAGGATTTTTGCATCAATGTTCATTAAGGAGATTGGCCTATAGATCTCCTTTTTGGGGTGCAGGACAAAGTTTTAAATGGTGGTATTTGAGGAGTCAGCAGTTCTAAAACTTGCAACAGTAGAAGAAAGTAAGCATTAGACTTCAGTAATCTATGAAAGGTAGCTTCTACTAGAGAGAAGAAAATCCCTCAAGGATCTTTTTTATTGGCTATAATTAGCTGCCTGGCTGATCCAAGTAGCAGGGGTTGGAGCAGTAATGTGCTACTTTGGTAAGGATACACATTGTACTGCTGGCCAAAAGCCAAAAATGGGCCTTCACATACAAAGCATGGGTATACTGCATGACTCAGTAACACCTGTGGCTTTGCCTCCAGGTATATTAAGTGGCAGGGAATCAAGAGCCAACTCACTCAGACAGGCAGCTGTTAAGAACATAAGCCAATAGTGTCACACAGTGTCTGAATGCACTCCCTTGAGAATGTCTCACCAATCTAGACAGTTGAAGACTCTGGTTAATTTATTTCTCAATTCTTTAGCAGCAAAACAGTGTTGGTTTTGGTAGATGGGGCACAACAGGGATTTAGTAGTCCAGGAAGCTTCTGAGTCCTTTGGAGTATGTGTCTGTTACAGAAATATGGGCAAATTGATTTGATCTCCAATGACAAGTTTGGCGGGGCAACAAAGCTGATTTTAACACCCAACATATATCATCAGTTAAATATAAAGTTAGCAATATGATACATGTAAATATGTAATAATCACTATGGGAATTTAGCACAAATTTTAGTAGGTTTGAAATGCTTTATGCTCTATTTTCTTGTGTTAGAATTGGGAAGCATTACATATATTGCTCAAGTTGTTATTTATTCAACTTAAAGTTTTGTTAATCTGATTAAAGTTTATGTTTTGGATAAGTCAAATTCAGCTATTATAAGTAACTCCCAGAGTATTCAAGTGTAACAACTTTTAATCTGCATTTTACTATAGTATATTATAGTTACATTCAGGGGCAAGCTGCATAACACAATGCAAAGAGTTAAATTAAATTTATGCAAAGAGTCAACTTAAATTTTTAGAAGGGTAACATTTATTAGCATCTTCATGATCAAAGAAATATTTAGTACAAAAATGAGCACATTGAAGAGGAACAACTAACATGCCATTTGGATTATAAATTTACAAAGCCCATATTGTGATCAGTTCACCTTTCTCAATAAATCTTAAATTAGTCAGAGAGAAGTTAACATCTCATTGGAATCTTTATTGTAGCAAAGTTCATATTTAGAGAAAAAATTTCTAGAAGATGATTAATAATGATTGAGAGACTGTCACCTCAACTTCATTGACCTATATGCAACTTCTTATGTACCTGGAATACCACTATATAAGGCTGCATATGATTCAAATATCAGGGAATGTGTGTCCATATGGCTTTGATATTTTAGAAGCTTAAAACAATTCAATTTATTTGGTTTGAAAAGCTATGTGGATCAAAACTGATAGTGAAAGCAATGCAAGAGAAGCTTACAGAGAGAGTGTGTGTGTGTGTGAGAGAGAGAGAGAGAGAGAGAGAGAGAAGAGAGTCATTTAAGGAGCATTGGAAAAAGAGAGATAGGCCTTCTTCAGAAGGAAATAATAAACATGACAGAAACAAGGGTTGTAATAGCAGCATGCAGATTCAGGAAAGGGATGAAGCATGAAGAGAGATATGACGCACACTGACAATGTGAAGGTATATCAGTCTGTTTCAGAGTGAAGACTTTGGGTGGTAAGACTGGAGAGAGATCATGGAAAGTCAGGATAAAATCAAATCAAATTAAATCTTGTATTGAGGCCCAGAGAGGTAAAAGAACTTTCTCAGGCACATTCCTAAAATGTGGCAGAGATGTTACTGAATTTTAAATGCTATCTTCAAACAATATTACTACTTCTTTTCAGGTTTAGAGGAAGTCATCTGTCTGGATTGTCCATGGCAACAGTAATATTGGACTCAGAACCATCTTATCACATTTGGAGGGTTAACTCTCATGGGAGTTACCTAATAATGTCATCTGAAATGGCCTAGGCATACACTAGCCAGTTGATCAGATCAGTTTCTACTATAAGTAGAATCTTTGCATCTATTTGCCTTTGCTCTTTCTTGACTTTAATACATGAAATGCCCTTACTGTGGTAAGGACAGTGCATAAATAGGACTTGTGGATAGCTAAATTCAATTTGTTATATAGCACGAATAATTCCATAGGAGCCATCTACAGCTGACAGCAACATTCCCTCCCTCAAATCAGGGAGAAAAATATAATTGCATTAATATCATGCTATATACTAATATTGATATGCTCAAACTGTCTGTGGGTTGCCATGGCAACTCCACCTACGATAAATATGAAACTGGTGTTCACAACGCATATTTACCTAGAGCTTATTTTGTCTTTTAGGCTCTTCAATGGCCAACAAGGAATTATTATTCAAAATTTTATCACAAGATCTATTCTCACTGTTACTAATGTGACACAGGAGCACTTTGGCAACTATACTTGTGTGGCTGCCAACAAGCTAGGCACGACCAATGCAAGCCTGCCTCTTAACCGTAAGTAACACAATGTTGCAAAAAATGCTTCCAGGGGTCTCCTGGCTCCTATACATGAGCAAAGATAAAAACCTAAGAATGGAGTATGTTTATTTTAAGACCTCAGCTTGATGTTACACATTCCTTACAGACAGAAAGCTTTGTCTCCAAATAATATGGGTATTTGAGAATTTTATAATCCCTGCAGAACTCTACAGGTACATAGAAAATATCTTAAAGCTGAGAAAAGGGAAAAAACATTACATAAATAGAAAGGCTAACAGAAACACATCTCCTGACTGAGATAGTTGGTTTGGTGGATGATGTTTATTTCTTGCTTTATGTTATCTTGAAGCATAGATTAATTATGGCTTGGATTTATTCTTCATTAGATACTCATCTTGGAATAGTCAGAATTTCCCATGCAATAAACAGAATTAGAGTAGGTAAATAAACATTGACAGAGTATTTTATCCATATAGATAACATTTTTACTCTGTATTTGGCAACTGTTTTTCTAAATGTTGCTTAAGAATTCATTCAACTAAATACTACATTCAGAATGTAACAGAATGCAATGAGCTTGTATCTTGGTAAGTGTAAATCCAAAAAGAAACATGTCTGAGAAATAAAAGAGTGGGGAAAGATATATTACCTATATCAGGTAAGAAGATCATTGAAGTTATTCCCAAAGCAATAACCTCCTCAAACAAATGAAGTATGGGAAATTTCTTTGGGGAGTCTACACATATTTATAAAGGAAAGCATTTTAGGAGTGAGCAGATTTCTGACCATGCTCAGTTTAAGGTCATAGTTTAAGAAGGAAAGATGGCAGAGACATTTTGAGAAATGCTTAGGTCAGGTCATAGTTTGTTTGAAAGATTAAAATGGCTGATAGGAACACTTTTGGGCATGCTCAACTGGTATCATAAAGATGACAGGCAGGAACAGCTCTGGGCATGCTTAGTTTTCTCTGAAATGTTTTAGCTGGGAAAAAGCAAAGGACTCTTGGAAGGTACAATAATATGAGTTTAATCCTGAAAGTTCCTACCTTGCTTAGCCGCTAACTCAAACGCATCTTTGGAACTATAAGTGAATACAGATAAAGAAGCACAAGCATCCGTTAAAAAAACCTACCTACCAATTCCTCCTGCAATTAATTGTAGTGCTTTTTAGAAGTTAAGTAACCAATTCCTAATTTTCAAATCAAGTGTTTCTAAAATGTCAGACTGTAATACAGAGAGTACACTGGCTCTTCAACTACACAGTTACCTCAATTATCTTCTTTTACAGCTAACACATTTATTGTAACCTGACATATTTACATTTATGCTATCATCCTGGGATAGTAAGCTAGCCCTGGAAAGTGCAAATATTCTGTTGTTCATCATATACATGTTCATTTTGATTTTACAGAAACAGGAGTGGGATCTCTGAGGTTCCTACTGCTTTCTAGTACAATTTGGACTAATTTGTTAGGGACAAAGTGTGCAACTCTTGTCTGTAATTATTAATATACCCATGGAAGTTAGATAAACTGTCTATATGTGCAGAACTCTTATATGACAACATCTGCAGCTCATATTGTACTAAGCATTTCTATTTTGTACTATAATTTTTATTTTATTTCTTTGGTACTGAGGATCAAATCCAAAGCCTCATGCATGGTAGGTAAGCACTCTACCACTTGACAACAACTCCATCCCTTATAATTATTTATCCATATATTTTGTCTTTCTACCAAATCGTAAGGTCTTTGAGAAGACAGGTTCAATGTCTCAATTTATTTTATGTGCTTTAAACCCAGTGTCTGCTATTTAAAAGGTAACTAATAAATCTTTAGTGAGCCAAGAAAGCAATCATAAGCAAGTGAATAGATTAATGAATTAATGAATGAATGAAGTATATTTTAGCTGTAGAATGCTTACTTGTAACTTCTAGAGATACAAGGCAGTATCACTGTAATTACAGATAACACTGTTAGCTTACTCTGATTCAAATTCTATTCTAATTTCTTTATTCATTTGAAAGAACAATATATGGAGAGGTTGCATGGTAAATAGTTCCATAGTGAGCTAAGGAGAAGGCCTGCACGTGTTAAATAATGTCCCAAATGCACTTCACAATTTAACTTTATCTATTTCCTAGTTCACTAACCAGAGTTTATGGAATTAATTTCAGACTAAATATATCATACTGATACCCTAGCAGTCCATAAATCTAGGAAATCTAAAAAAATAAAGGCAGTTCTATTTTGAGGTCCAGATAATTCATTTGATAGCAGCATTCATTTATCAAGTATGTATATTGACTGCCTACAATGTGCAAAGGACTGTACTAGATGTTGGAAAGAAAAGAATTAGTACACTTGGAATTCCCATTTCAAAGAGTTCTCAGACAAGTGAGAGGAAAGGGATAAGAAAACAAGCAGCTTCAGTGTAATACAGTCAGTGATACCTCTCTTTCTGTGGGAGAGAAGAAGCTCACAATCCAGTCTCAAGGACCATGGAAGATTTTTCTCCTAGAGTAGTTTCAAATCACTATTTGAATTATAACTAAGCTACAGCTTGAAACACCATTTTAGCCCTCACTTTTCATTTTCAGTGGCATAAATTTACAGGAGTTCATTTAACAACAATCATGAACACAAGGTAGATTGGCACAAATGAGAGAGCAATCAACTTGGTCTCAAGGACTCAAGACAAGCTATAGAGCTATATGCTCCTTGAACTAAGGGCACTGCTGGGTTGGTCCTGGGAATGAGGGTGATGATGAAAGAGAGAAAGAAAGGAGAGAGAGAGAGAGAGAGAGAGAGAGAGAGTGTGAGTGTGAGTGAGAGAGAGAGGAGAGGCTAACATGGAACAGCTCATATGAACATGTGGCAGTATAAAGACATTTCATACATTTAAAGACACTGTGGTACTTTCATAGGTAAGAATAAAAGGTAAGAAAAGGAAATTTTGAAGAATACTAAGATGAGGTCAGACAGACAAATTGGCAGGGATTAGTACAAGAAGAATTGGAAATGAATAGATTTTATCCTGGATTTGGAAGGCTTTACCAAACGAATGATGTGAACAGATGTGATTTCTGAAAGACTTTCTTAAGCAAAGTGGATGTTAAACCTAGGTACTAACTTTTCAATAATAAAAGCAATAGCATAATTGCACAAAATGAGTAGCAGAGTTGAAAGAGTTGAGAGATAGTTAGGAGGTATGAATTAATGACCAGATCTGGAGAAGGGAGTTTCAGGACTCTAGTTAACTCCTAATGATTAGATTGGGTGGTGTTAACCAGAATAAGAACTTTAGAGAAGGATTAAGGCTTTAGAGTTTGCAAGGAGGTAGAGATTGAAAGAAGAAGATGAGTTCAATTTTAGACAGTTTTAGTTTAAGGCAAAAATGTCTAGTAGGTAGTTAGATATAAAATCCAAAATGGAAATAAATATTTGGAAATTATCAGGACAGAGGTCGTCATTTCATCCATGAAAGTAAATTAGAGTTCTCATAAAAGCATAGACAGTGAAAAGATGCCTAAGGACAGAAATTCAAATTAAATCAGAATTGAAGAAATTTCTTGTGGAAGTGTATAGATTCCATGTGGATGGAGATATCAAAGGAAGAACAGTGCTATGGAAGCCAAGGGTTGGAGATCATTTAGAAGGATAGAAGGGCAGCAATGTTCACTGCTAGCTTGGGTTGGAAATAGTCTAAAAGTCACCTTCTGTATCTGGCAATTGGGCAGTGATTGGTGATCTTTGTCAGAGCAGTTTCTGTGGAAAACTGGGAGTAGAAGCAAGATTTCTAGATTAAGATTTAGCAAACAGAAGAAGAAATAGAGACATGGTAACAAACTATTCTTTCTAGAGGTAACTGTATGAAAGGAAGAATTCAAAGCTACTGTTATACCTACATGCTCTAGCAGCTATCTGCATGTGCTTATTTTCCGGTTAATAGCCCCATGGCTATATGCATATCAACCATTTCCTGACTTGCAAAGCCACAACACAGTGACCTTTGGTGAGCTTTTGCTATACTTCCTTTTTTCTAAAAGCCTTCCTTATTTATATCTTTCTTGAGTTCTGGAGAAATAAGCAAGAGTTTTGATTTAACTCTTATTAGGTTTTAATTGTAAGTGTAACTATCATTTTAAGTAGGGATCTTCATAATTTTATCAATAGAACTACTTTAAATTACTTTTGGTAAAGTAAGAGGGGAGAAAATTTAGGTAGGAAAACTATAAGAAAGCTAATATAACAATGAATATCTTTCATCATCCCCTTTGTTGCAAAACTTCTAAATACATTTGCATTTAAAAAGTATACTATTGGAAGGGAGGGAGGTAGGGAGAAAGAAAGAGAGGAAAGAGAGAGAGAGAGAGAGGAGACTATTCTACACATAAGTGTAGACCAGTCCTCAGAGGAGGAAGTGCTTTAACAAAATTGGTAATGGATGACAGTGTGCCAGCTGTTCATAGTAAAATCCCCTATTAAGTAAAAAGTTTGGGATTCAGAATTATTTATTTTCTTCTTATTTTTCACCCACGCATTTTCTTTTTAAACACGAACAACAAAATATATTCTTCCATGTCTGTTCCTTAAAAAATATGAACTGACTGGTCCCATCCTGCCATCTATGGGTCCACTTCATCAAATGTACACCATCATTTAAGAAAGAATTCAGTAACCAGTAAAATATAGTCATTTCTATAAACAAAAAATATTGTTTATGTTTTGTTTTTAGCTTTCACAAAAGGATAAATGTTTACTTTAAGACCTGTCTCAAAAGACTCACCATGTAGAAGGAAGAAAGGAAGGAGAATTAATTAGAAAGAAGAAAACTCCATAAGCAAAGTGCTTACAATTCACACCACTTTGGTTTAATTTACCTTCTCCTGAGACCTAATAAATGAAAATATAGGACAAATCTAGCCTTCATATTGACAGGGTCTTTGTTTATAGGTCCAAAATATATAATAACATTGCTGCAATGCTTGAATGCCAAACTCCTCTGTGAGGTGTT